ATAGTTTTTACCAAGGGACATGAACGTTATATCCCATGGGCAATATAGATCAGTAGGCAAAACGACCAAGTGCCAGCCCTACTACAAAGCGCCGCCATTTATAGTTAGCCAGACACTCTTCAGTGTCCCAAGAAGAGGATAGATAGCCTGCCCGATGAATCCTTTCCAAAAAAACAAAAATTTACCAGCTCCCTCGTTACGGTAGTAGCTCGGCTGGTTGCATATGTAGACACGACGTATAACACGAAGGTCGTTAAGATAAAACCCTGCAGGTATGATATTCCGCACGACAAAACTCGCATAACCCTTTATAGTAGGTAGGTAGGTGTGTGCATCGCATTGTGAGAAGAGCAAATAGGTCGCTGCACGCATCAAACACGCACGCACGGGCGGCAGGTAGGGCGACGGCGCCCCCCCCCTCTCGAGCAGGACTCGAGCAGGACCGAGGAGAAGACGCCCCGGCCCGGACATTTGATATGCGTCCAGCATGTGCGGCGCCGGTGCCATGTGTCAGGGAAATGGGCGAGCTCGAGGGAAGGGAGGACGGTGCGTGCATGCATGCATGCATGGGCGCCTACAAACGTGCGGGAGGAGATGTCCAAGGCGAACAAAGGGAATGTGTTTCCAGCACCGCGTGGCTGCGGCGTGGCGTGGCGTGGCGTGGCGCGGCGTGGGATGATAGTCACGATTCGGTGATGACCACGCACCAGCCAGCAGCCTGCAGCGCGCGATAGATCCCCAGCCGAACGGCGAACATCGTTATGCGATGCGATGCGAGACCGAGGCGAGGGGGACCTCCTCCCGGAACCCGTTGCACTTGGCCCTTGGAGCTGAGTATGGAGTTGCGGGCCTTTTGAGATTCAGGAACCGAAGGGCACTGCGAGTTAGAGTTTGCAGCGCATAGCATCCGAGTCACGCTCGCTTTTTCCGCATGAGTGTCGCCCTATCGCGCCCAGCAGGCTCAGGTATAGGTAGTATGCATCCAGGGTCTTTCTGTTAGGTACGAAAATCAAAGTTAAAAAAAAATAAAAATGAGGCACATATAGTGGGAGTGACCCATGCGTCGAACAGACCACAGACCACAGACCCTTATGCTCGGAGTTCTCCACTGCAGGGTTGGGGCATCGCCGTCGAGGGAATAATGACTCTGAGCATGCATGAAGGGCGTGTCGTGGTGTTTGCGCAGAGTATCCACAGAGCCCACTTGCATGCTGAGACCGGGGCGGAGATATATCGCATACGACGTACAGTATAGAGAGGGATGTGTTCGACAAAGGCATGGGAGAGCATGCCATTTGATATAGAGGCGCGGTTTCGGTCCTGAAGTGCGAGTGATGAAGGACGCGCTATGGATCGGCCCACAGCCCTACGCATAAATCGGCGTCTGCTCCCAGTTCTTCTAGAAGTCGGTGCGAGAAGCAGCCCATGTTTCTCAGGTCGAGGCTCAACGGTTTGCAAAGGTCGAGGAGCGACATGCGAGAAGCGACATGCGGAAAGTCCCAAACGGTACTTTCCCGAACAGCACTGTCCCGAACAGTACTGCAACGCGACGATAGCTGTCAAAGTGTGATAGTTGTTTCATGAGAATTGAGATCCCAAACTCAGTTTCCTATTCGAGGCGGACTACCGTGGACTATAGGTCCGCTACCAGCCCTGCCGCTTCCGCGTGGAAGCATGGAAGCTTTGCCGCGTCCCAGTCGCCGTAACGCGATTAGGCCTTTCGTAAGCGGTGCTAGCTATCATCCCGCCCCCCTGCTCGCAAGGAACGGCGAAATGAGAATAAGACCGGGGACATGGTTGCGAAGAAATAAGGCTGAAGAACATTTGGGGAAGAAAGGAGAAAGGGGCAGTCAGTGCTTTTCGGTAGGGACCAGCCTACCGGATGAGTGAAAAATTTCCTGCTGGTATATTATGGCAGAAGTCATGATAAAACTTAGGTTGCACGGTGCGCGAGCGAAACAGAATGACGCCGGAGAGCTTTGATATGATATGACAAGATATGGACGGGATGGGATGCGACGTGGGATTGAATTGTTTCATTTAGCATTTGCTTTTTGGCCGTCTGCGGCTGGTTGGAACCTGAAACTAGCAACCGAATCCTCGTTCCTCGACGCTCCAAATGCACACGTTGGTGGTGGCGCCGGTTTTGTTGGCATGTTGGTCTGTTGGTTGGTGGCCTGTTCATACCGTACGTCGGTCCGTCATCACCCTGACGATGCAGCCGGGCCCTGCGATCTCCACCAGCTGCCACTGAGCGTCAGCACATGAAGTCAAGGACACGTGATATGATGTGCTGACGCAATACGAGAGAGCAATGGAGTGCAAAAAAACATGGAAAAGGTGACATAGGAGTGACATCTGCTGCGGGATGTGGCGGACGGACGGAAATGCGCAAGTACCTTCTCGTGCCAACTGAGCAGCACGCTCATGGCCTGGCCTCCACCCTCACCTGAACGGGACGAGTGCACCTGCGAGAAGCCGGTCGCCTGGGGCGTAATCTTGGTTGTTGTGCTCGCTGCGCTCGTATGTGCCATGCCCTTGTAGCTGGACGTACGTACCGTTAGCCAAAAGCGCTCTGCAGGAATGTCCGACGGGGAGTGGGACAAGGGAGGCACACGATGGATCGCAGTGCGCGTGGGCAAAAGGCGGTAAGAGTGCGAGACGGTCGCGGTGCTGGATTAGGGTAGTGGAGCGTACATATACTTCATGAGTACATCCAATGCCTCTGTTCCACCTGGGGCTTTATAGAGACGGCCGAGCATGGGCGACATGTCGGCCTGGCGGATGGACTGGAGGATCTCGATAATGGTGGCTAGAAAGACGTCCTACATTGGCCAGTGAAACCTTGGTCAGCCCTGTCTTCCCCTCGTGTGTGCTTGTGCGAGGGCGCGAGGCAGCTTCCGGGTCGCTGGAAGCCCGAGGCCGGAGCGACGGTCGCGATGGTGGTCGAGAGATGGCCGAATGCGGAGAGACACTCGACAGTGGTGTCCCGCGATTGCGGGCGGGGGCGGGGACGTGGTCGAGGTCGAGGGGCACAGAGATGAGGTAGCATGTAGCATGTCGCGACGTACCTTTCCCCTCTCATCAGCCCCGTAGGGCGGGTTCTCCAGCGCGCCCTGCAGCGCGCCCTCGCTGTCGCCGCCTCGGAGGAGCTGGCGTATCTGGCCCGTGAGCGCCTGCACATCGGCGGCAGAGGCGGGCGCAACGGCGGGCGTGAGGGTGCTGAGGTCGAAGTTGGCGGGGGAGTCGGGGTCGAGGGCGTCGATGTTGATGGTGCGCCAGTTGAGCGTCGCCATGGCGGCAATATTGGTGCACCGGGGTGCGATGTGTCGGAGAATAGGGTGGCGGCAGTGCGGTCGCGGCGGCGGCGGCGGCGTGTGTGTGTTGTGGATGCAATGAGGTCGTGGGGGTGATGGAGAGGCGCCCGCAGTCTCCACTCCACCACGGCGCCAAGGCTGGCGGCAGCTCAACCCAAGCAATGCAGCGCCGGAACTTTTTCTGTACCATCCAGCGTCGCACAAGCAAGGGTCGGCACTTGGAGCTGCCTCGAAACAGATCGGATGCTGGACAGGGAGACGTCCAAGGCCTATCGATCGCCCGTGGCGGCGATCGGAGGCGCCACAGGTACGACACGGCCATCGACACAGGACGGAAACAACATGGGATGCGACTGAGGGAAGGTAAATTGTTGTAGATTGAGATTAAAATGACTGTCTATTCCCTATTTCCCCCACTTGTGTCGCGCGACACGGAGCACCAAGACCCAGGCTATCCCATTCTAAAATTACCCAGGCGAAGACAACCAACGCCGTCGCCCAGGTGACCGTCCGGTGAATGCAAAACTCGTCGCGTGCTGTTCATGAACCGATGTGGTCCTGCCAGCCCGCTGCGCTATATAGTACAAATGACTCCACGCCGGGATGCCAATGAAGGCAGGCGGTGGAAAATCTACCCAGATATGCTATCCCGAAAGAAAAGAAAAGAAAAGTCCGATTTTTGGTATCCATGCCTGGGCCCCATCCTATTCTATAAAACGCCGAGAGGTAAGAGACTTTTTCGCAAGGAAATGCTATCGCTAAATGGGGCTCGGAAAGCAAGGAAATACAGTGCTGGTCGATGGGAAATCGCTCGAGGAACGCAGGACGGCGAAGGCAGGGGTATTAGGCATGCTGAGATGGAAACGAAGAGTCGCTGATTATTAAAAGGGCGTAATCCCGAGGGCGGCAGGCGAAGACAAGCGCGTTAGGAAGGTGCGGAGAGTGGTTGCGTTGGCGTATTGATGATTGATACGGCCAAGGGATGACGGGTGTTGGAGGTGTAAGGCTGCAGATATATTGGTTAGTCAGGGTGGTCATGCAAGGTGTCGGATCCCAGCAACTTACGACGCGCGAAATGCCATCCCTCTGCTCCCAACGGAACAACAAGCGGTCGTTGCACACACACTCTCTCTCTCTCTGAAGAAATTTCGCAACAAGCAAGCTCGGCGGGCAGAGTAGGCGATGGACGAGCCAAGCAGCGTGGGCGAGCTGGTCAGGGGGGCGTGACGTTGAGAAGGTCGTTGAAGCATGGTGCTAGCGCCTCTTGGGCGGTGTCGGAGGGGGTTTGGGTGTCCCTGTGGTGTCGTAGGCTCCGCGTCCCATGTTGGTAGATTCACACTCTCTGACAATCATGGTGAAGATGGATTCAGGAGCTACTTTATAGTCAGTCTCGGCGCACAGGAGGGCGGCCGGAAGGGGCTTACGAGAATGCAGACGTCAGCGTGGCGGTTTGGTGTGCGAGGGCGATGGAGAGCAGGGCGAGCGTCGGGGGGGAGCGCGGCGGTGGCAGCGGCGTGTGTGCGAGCTCAAGCAAATAGTGTCGATGGTTCGTGTTCCAGTGGACGGCAGCCGGGCAGCGCGCTGGTGATTAAGGATGGGGGAGAGGATGGAAGTGAGGGAGTGACTGTGAGCTGGAGAGTGAATGAGTGAAGGTAGGAGGCCCGGTTGTTGCGAGGGCGGTCCGGACTGATATATGATGGTAAGACGGCAGCGCAATCAGGGGGGCTGCGGCTCTGACTTGCAAGTGCTCGCTCTTGGCCGGCGAGACAAATGAAATGAGCGCTGTGCGCTGCTGGACATCCAAGCGCAGGCACCTGGCAACATGACGTGCCGGCCGGCTTGTTTCGAATGCTTCCCTGTCCAGGTCGGCTGGCGGCGCGCACACAATTTCTGGTCAAAGGCCACAGGGGGGGACAGGCTGGACAGGGGACAGGGCCGACATGGCGGCGACCAGGGGGACAGGAGATCTGCACCCACTGCACACACGCTGATTCCACCGGGAAGGTTGACCCCTACCCGGCGACGCACCAGGAATGCTAGCAGCGTGTTCCTGCAGCCCTCTGCCGCAAGCCGCCGCGCTTGGGGCCTCTCAGCCAACGTCTTGAACCTCCCTTTTCTCACCACCGCCTCCTGACGCTGCCCGCCCGCGCTGCGAGGGGATCTCTCGCCGCGAGCCACCGCCGTGCTCCTCTGCTGGCCGCGCTCCCAGCTCCCAGCTCCTAGATGACACGCGCGCGGCTTAGATGAGACCGTGTCAGCGCGGGCCTCGCCAACCACGGCCAGCCCACGGCAGCGCTCGACTGCCTGGCCTCGCTGGCCCTGCCTGCTGCCGTTGACTCGTCGCGCCGCGTCCAGAAGCCCGCCAGAAGCAGCGCTGCCCTCCCAGTGGCCGCCCGCCGCCGCCTCCCATCCTGCGGGACTGTTCCCCGATGGGCCCACCGCAGCTGGCTGCACCCAAAGGCATCGCCATGATGCATCCGTCGCCCAGGTTGCTGGGAAGGTCGAAACCTTCTGGCATCGTCCCAGCGTGCGCGCGCAGGCCCGCAGCCGTCAGCAGCCAGGCCGGCGCTGCGTTGCTTTTGCGGTGTCGTATCGCGCAGGAGCAGCACGGCGGAATCCCATGTTTCCTTTTGGCTCCGTGTGAGCGCGGGTGCCGTTGATAAGTCGATACGTCGGTGATAGGAAGCCCTCTCCACGTGGGATTTGCCCACAACCCCCCGTATCGCCTCGCACACGCTCGCTCGCTGGAGCAGCCATTCTCCCTCCCCCCTCCCCCCTCCCCCTTCCCCCCGTCATGGCCCTCTCAGACGCTGCGCGCCGTGGCAACAGCGCGCCGTCCGGGCAACACCCGTCCAGCTCCCCGTGAGGCCATGACTAGACAGCGGCGCCATAACGCCGTACTGCGTAAGATGAGCGCGCTCTGTTCACGAGCGAGCGTTGTCGCCATCTGTGCACGACAGGGAGCATCGGCGCTTGGCCGCACTGGGCGGCGTGGGCTGCAGACGGGCGCCACGGCTTCGCTTGGCTATTTCCTTCTGGAAAGACTCTAGAAACGTCCTTGTTTGATCAGCCGGTGCGAGATTGAGATTGGCCATGTCGCTGGGCCTCCTGCGAATGTCACTGTGCTGGCCGTGTCGTCTGGCCGGCCGTCTGAGACGCGACGTCGGGCGCAGCGCCGTGTCGAGAGACGCCCAGTGCCAGTGGAGCGAGACGGCAGACAGGTTGCATTCTGCAGCCCGCGCCAGCAGCGAGCGGACAGATCGCTGCAAGCCTTCCGCTCCAGAGAAACGGGCTCTGTCTTGAAGCGGCGGCATGGATTCGCCCGCTCGCTCGCTGGCTCGCTCGCTCTCCCTTGGACGGCGCTGGTTGATGCGACCGCAGGGCCCGCGAGCCGTGTCGACGATTGCTTTTGACGCGGGACGGAGCGGCGAGGGCATTTCCCTCCTCGTAGCAGCTCCGTACGGCGTGCCGGGCGCTGGCCGGGGCACAATCTGGCAGAATTCAAGTCCATGGCCTACCTACCCTACCAGTAGTAGACGCGCGCGCTGCCAATACTATAAATGCACTCGCCGGAGCAGCGCTGATTGGCCCGGGGCGAGCTCCTGGCCGTGGATTGGCACGCCGCGCCCGGGCAGCGATATAGCCAGGGGGGAAATGGCTGTGAGACAGACACGCCGCCCTCAGCACCACGGCAGCCATTGGCTCGCCGGCCGGCCGTCTGCGCGAAAGTGAATGGAGCAGAAACACGGCCCGGCCGCCACGGCGAGGAGCCATCTGCCCTCGCCGGCCTGGCCTGCAGCGCTGCGCTGCTCCCAGGCCACTGCCGCCCTGACGCGTCTGTGGTCGCCGTGGCGTCCTGGACGAGCGCGCGGCTGGGTAGCACGGTGCCTGCAGCCCAGCCAGCTCCGCCGCCGTCGCCGCCCTGCACGGCACGCCCAAAGCAGCCTGCACGAGTTTTCTGAAATTGCGCCCGTGGATTTTGGCTGCGGGGAGGTCGGGACATTGTGGGCTTGCGAACGGTTTCCAGCCTGGGCGCGGCGCTACTGCAATATGCGCAGCGGCTTCCCACTCCGTGGAAGCGAAACAGGGGCGCACAGCGATGCCTGCAAAGGCAACCCTGCCGGCACACGTGGAGCCCGTCGCGCGGTGGAGCTTCGCCTTGCCTCTGGGACGTGATGGACGTGACGGGACGAGTTGGGACGAGTTGGGACGAGTGGAGTGGCATGGGAAAGGGGGGGG